TGAGTCCTTGACCTTAATTTAAACAGACTTATGTTGCACCAGACTACAGTACATAGAAATGCACATCACTTTGAAGGGACTGACTTAGTGACTGACGACAAAAACTCAACATTTATCTATCTATATGTAAACAATATTGTATCAAACTTATCAACAGATAACCTATTTAGTGGCTCTCAAATAAAGGCTATCACCTGAAACACTCGAATCAGTGGAGTGTGAATCTTTGTCCGCCATTTTGTATTTTCTTAAAAAAACCGCTGACCCAGCAGCCTGGCTGCATGCATCTTTCGCCGTTGATCTGCCCCAGGGGGCAGGAACTACTCCTTTTTAACAGCAAATTCACAAATTGTCTACTGAAACATTGTAAAATATGGAAGCATGGCCAGTTAAAGCACTAAAAGCTGCTCCGATATCTAGAAAACTAGAAATTGCTCAGAATGCAAAAACGTGCTCGAAACAAAAAATGTTGCTCGAAATTAATGCGAAAAGTTGCCAAAAAGTTGCCGAGCAACTTGTGGCAAGCACTAACTAATTGTCCATGATTTTACGGCATCCCGCTTAGGTTGACGACTTAACTTAAGCGAAATAAAACTTTTTCCGTGTTTACATTGCTTAAACCAAAAACAAAAACCCGTCCACGCGACTTAAATGCAGCAAACGACAATACTGTTACTCTTGACAATTACTGACTAGCCCATTAGTTGGTCTGTCTATGTTTTCCCAAGTAGAGTACTGTAGGGATAAAAAATGTCATCACCGACAGTTGCCCGATGGGATCCAATTTAAGTCGAGTGCAATTTCGCCATTGCGGATAGAAGCATCCCTTGGGCCGCTAAACAATAGGTCCATTCTCTTAAAAAATTCAAACCATAACAATAGCCAAGAAATACAGGAAACATTTTATGACTCAAGTGACTCAACGCTTTTAATTTGGCGCCAGAAATGGGTCACCCGCGTCTGGTAACTGGATTGTAATTCGTCGAGTGTTGACCAGGTGGAATAATAGTTGTATTGTTTTGAACAAAATATGTTGTTGCTCGTCAAATTAAACCCAGGATTCTCTAGTTCATTGTAAGAACAGGCCAAAGCAAGTTTAGCATTGTCTTTATTTTTGTTAGCTGCGATGAAAAAGACTATTATCGTGTCATTTCGATGGAACAACCCGGGTGCAGTCGCCGTTTGAGACCTATTTCAATTATTTTTTTTATTTTTTGCTCCTCCAAGAAGCTGGTGGCTAACCTCCCAATACACCCCTCTCCCACCTTAATCGGCCCTTGAATTACCCACCTAATAAAAAGCTGCAAACTACAAAAGCAATAAATTTGAGACCATTTGTTCTGTGTGTTTTCATTCAAAATGTTCTTGTTCTATCTGCAAAGAATTTATTTGTCTTGGTTGAAGTAGTGGCACTGTAAACCAAAATTGAAATCACCAAGGCCACGCTGGCAACATGGGCCAGTTCCGCGGAAACTAATTCGGGAAAAATCCAGAGGCTCAAAGCTTACTAATGTATTGGCATTTTTAATTGATTTAACATTTTCAATAAAATCCTCATTTCATTCTTGGTTTTACTTCCAAAAACTTAAAACCTATAAAATAAGTTTTATAACTGAAACTGACGCCGTTATCTGGCAAAAATTACCCTCAGCAACAGCTCAGAAACTGAGATCAGTTAACTGGCTAGCGTTATCAATCAATCACAAAATCTTATCATATAAACGGCGTTCCCTGGAGTCGTGAAAAAAATTACACAGAGAATACATTAAATAACAGTTAACAGAAATTTAACCAAGAAGTATAACGTAGATTATTAAAAACTGGATCATTGCATAATGCAATTCAAGAGTTTTCATTGGGTTAGCCATCATCGCAAATGATACCATTCTCTACAAATATGGTAAGCATACGCGTGATTTTTGGGGGTGTTTTTATTTTTAGTTTGGTTTAATTTTCTTTATTTTGGGGGCGTTTAAATGAAACAATTATTCTACTCGCGCTTGTTGGATATGATAGTTGGCTATTCATCATCTGATATTCAACGCACGCTCGTGGAATAATTGTTAAGATAACCTGTTCTCAATATAGCCTCGTGAACGTCCTCTCAGCTGAACGTGGTTCACATATGTCGATGAACTTGAAATCAGCGTTCAGGACTGTCCCAATGACGGTTTTCTGTCAAATGCTTTTAAGTGCTGTTTTCGGCTAACTGGAGAGCTATTAGAGCTATGTAGATTATGTTTAGGCTACGCTATAAAATTTTAATCTGTTTCGCAATTCTAGGTCTTCTCGTAATTTATTCGGTTTTTTTGTGCATTTCCCGAAAACCATAGCAGCTGCTGCCTTTCCGAAAATCATAGCTGACCTTTTTCCGATATCCAAAACAACATTTTTATCAATTCGAAAACACCAGGCAAATCAAGGAAGTTCGAGGAGACAATTCGCTTAAGAAAATCGGAGGGATAAATAGCGACCGGTTGGAAGCCTCTGCGTTTTAGCTTGTGTCAACATACCAGTTTTAAATTTATGAGGCAATATGAGAAAAGACCTGAGCAAGAACAAGTTAAGAAATGCCATTTATGTTAGAAGTTAGGATGTCCTGAAAATGTTTTACCTTAAAGTTTTGAAAACAACGGAAAAAATACGTTCCTGTGAAGAAAACAAAGAAAGAAAAACAGCAGAGGAGGTTGAAACACAGCGTAGGAAGTGTTAATGTCAACATTTTTACTTAACTAATAAGAATCGCTTGTGAAAACATGCTGGTTTTTGTGGAACCCAGTTGAGAGACACAAAGGACCGTTCCCTTTAGATGTTTTTCACAAAGACAACAAGACGCGATTGCCTTTTTTTTTTTCTTTCTCATTGCTTCTTTGTTAATGGTTATTTGTCTTCCGTTACACCTGCTGAACCAGTCGGGAAGTTAAAAGTCTTCCTTAATATTATCTTCTAATACGGTTTGATGGACATTTCTTTAATTAAAACTAAAATACATAATTACCAAAGCCAGGGGAAATGAAAAACTTTGTGGGTGTTTGATTTTTTTTGGCAATGGTTTTTGTCTTTTTTAGTTCAACTGAACAGAAGCAGCATTTTGGGCTTGAAAAATTGATTAAATTTAATGAGAAACTGCTTGTTTTTCCAAACTGTCGGTAGATAAATAAATGGAAAAGAATTAGTATTCAAAGGATAGGCAGATCACATCTAATCTTAGTAGATGCACTTAGTTTGGTAAACATCAAAACTGCCTGGTTGATATTCCTTGTCTCGTTTGACAGTGAATATAAATGGTCTTATTTGGATTCATGACCTTCAAGCAAAATGGGCTCCCTTAAACATA